CGCTCGCCCGCGGCGGTGACACCCGGCGGCACCCGGCGGCACCCGGTGGCACCCGGTGGCCGCGGGCAGGGAGGCGCCGCCGGCGCTCGGAGCGGCCCCGAGCGCTCCGGTCCCGGGTCCCCTCCGCGCCCCCCGCGGGCTCGGCTGTTTTCCGCAGAAGAGGCGCGCTCCCCGCCGCTGCGGCTGTGCCGGGAATTCCGAGCGATGCCGAGGAGCATCCCGGGGCCACGGCATCGCCGGCACGACGGCAGCTCACGGCAGCTCCCCCGTCCCGCTTGCCGCTGCTGAGCCCCGGCTGGACGCTGGCTGGCACGGCCGGGATCATCGGGTTCCAGCCTCCGGAGGGCAGGGAGCCGGGAGAGTGGCAAGAGCAGAAGAGGTTTCTTGCCAAGGGTTTCTTAAAACTGCCCTTAGTGGAGCAGGAGCAGTAATGGTGGAGTCGATAGCCACCCTCACCCAAGGAGTTTTGTAGGGAGAAGCAGCACTTTCCATTCGACTGCTACTGAGCTGGGAGCTGCTGCCAGAGGCCTGACAAGAAGCAGGGGCTGAAGCTCCCTGCATGTGGCTGCCATCATCCAGGCTGTGTCTGCAGCCACCCAGCCTGTCTGAGAGGAAAGGACAGCAGCAGGGATATTAACAGGAGCTTAGTGATTGGTGTTAGGTGCAATGAATTCAAGGTGTTTGGTACTTGGCAGAGTTGTCTCATTTCCTATGTTTATTTTTTAAATAATTCTTTGTAGAGTGAGAGATTTGAGTGGTTTGGGAGTCCTGAGGGAACTCAGTGAAGAACTATTTGGGGAAAATCCCTCTCCCCTTGATAAAGATGAGCTTCTGTCCTCCATCAGCCAAACTGGCAGAGGCAGCCCTGTGGGTGCTGAAAGCCCTGTGCCAGCACCTCACTGCTGCTTCTGGTGCAGGGTTGTGGGATGCTGCAGGGGATGTGCATTGAGCCAGGGCTCTGTGCCTGTCTGGCAGGGAGGGTTTTGCTCTTGGTGTGGTGGTTCTAAGGCACTGTCCTCCTGGCTCTGTCTCTGATCCTCAGTCCTCCACTGCTGCATGTGTTCAGCAGGCACATCAAAATCTGGGCCAAAGCCCTACACCAGCCTACAGAACTGCTGAATTTTTGGCAACCACAGCCCTCCCACCAGCCCTGTGCTGTCTCTGCCCTCCCACAGCCTCCTCTAAACTCCCCACAGCCTTTCTGTCCCACACTACCCTGTGACCTCAGGGATAATAAACCAGGTCTCCTCAAAAGCTGCCTCGTGAGCCAAAGCCTGGTCAGAGCCAGGCCCAGGGGAAGAGAACTAACAAAAGTCTGTTCCCTGCTGTATTCCCAGTGCTGTGTGCTGAGGTCTAGTTTAGCACAGAAACATGTACACAAACCCCTCTGTATTTCCTGAACAATATCAAATATTTGTTCAAACACGCACCTGTTGGAGCTAGCATTGGCCAGCACAACAGATGGTCTATCTCCTGGTTTTCTCTCCATGCTGTGATTCCAAGGAGCACCCACGCCTGCTGCAGGGCAAGAGGTGGTTCTGGACCCACAGACCCAGCCCCACAGCTCAGCCAGCCAGCAGTACCTGAGGGGAATGAACACCATATCATCTAAGAATTGTATAGGTAGGCTTACTGCCTTCCATGTATACATTAATTTCTGTTACACAGAAATGAAACTCATTTTAAGGTTTATAAAACTTGAGTCACTGGGGGGATTTGCAATTACAGTAAGAACTTCAATATCCTCTCTTCTAGTACTTTAGTATCTTTTCTTTTTCTCATTGTATGACACCTAAATAAGCAATACAGTGATTTTAGTAGCAAAGATTAGCAACTATCAAAAAGATTTGGAAATGCAATTCAGGTAAGTTATCCAAAACTCACATTAGTACCTATATACTACATCTGTATTGTACAAGGTAAATCATACTTTGAAATTATTATTGCTTTAGCCCTTCTTTGGTTAGTGAATTGATTATATTGTTTTTTTCTGGTCTGTTTGTGATTATGAGAGAAATCTGGATAAGGAATATTCAAGTCAGCATTGTTTTTGTGGGTCATTAGGCTGCTCATCCTTCACAGCCCCTGGCCCATAATGTGTCCTCAGTCATCTCGAGTCACCTCTGTCATCTCAAGTTAGATAACAGAAACCTCCCAAGCAAAAGAATAGAAATCAACAGATAAAATAAATTATAGTACACTTCTGGTGTCACTAGGGATTTTTTATTTCTTTGGCACAATGTAATCAACACTTCCTAGAATTTTGAAATCAGCAGCTATTTCTGTGTATAACCCCTAGTCTGTAATCAAAGACAACATCCAACATGTTTCTGTATCTCAGCCCACTCTGTGTAAAATGAAGGAAACAATACTCCCCTTTCCAATCTGTTGCTGTGCTCTGGTGATGGTGACTCTGGTCTCTCTTGCACAGCACAGTCAGGTCTCCCAGCCTATACTGGACCTCTTTGCAGAGATCTGGCATTGGTCCAACCTGCCCCTTCCTGCAGCAGAGCAGGTATGTTTGGGGATGTAGAGGGGAGGCTGGAGCAGGATGGCTTTGGTTTCAGAGGGTTTCTTGCTTCCCAGAACACACAGGGTGGATAGGCATAGGCTCAGACAGAACTGCACACTGGAATTCTCCTGGAGGCTGAGCCTCTTGTGAAGGGCACAGGATACCTTCAGGTGAAATGTGTCTGAAAAGTCCTCCAGGGGCTGCACCTGCACATAGCCATTCCTTCCTCCTGCAGCCCACTCAGCATCCAGCGCTGATATCCAAACAGCAGCCTGAGGACTGTGCTGCTGGAAAATTCTGTCAACTTCTGCAACATTCCTGGCAGTTTGTCAGTAAGTGTGCCTTATATTTTTTTCTGCTTTTGTGGCAAAAGATTCATTAATTCAGAAGGGAATTAATGTGGCCTTGCAAAAAAGATGTTCATCCATACCTGTCAATTGATTTTATCAAGAAGCAATTTCCCCTGGCCTTTGTTGTGCTTGTACCCAGTTAGTTCTAAACAACATCCTTGAGCCCTAGGCAGTTCAGCAAAATAAATGGGCCCTCTGCAAAGTGCACTGTATACACTGTTTCTTCAATTAGATGAGAGGTGAAAATATGCAATACAGCAATTTATAACTCCTGGTTACAGCCTCGGAGAATGCAGTCCTAGACCGTCATGGTCTGCGTATGCAAGACCATCCTCCTTTTTCTTCTTTTTCTCTCTGCTGTGTGATGATTACCAGCAATGCAAAGTCATATGTGAGTTGCCATGGTGGAGGGGCTCCTTCCATGACTGTCTGAGCAGAGCACATTCTAAACGCTGCACCCTGGAGCCCAAAATACCACAGCAGTAACAGAATCCTTTCTCCAAGTGGTTGCCAGCACTGTCTCCTACCAAAGACCCCTAAGGATGCAGGGCTTTTCAGCATACTTCCTTCAAACACAGCCTCACATCCGTTGTTCAGATATCATGTGTTCACATTTGTCTTAAATTAGGCTGCACAGTGACTTTTTAGTGACTCAAAGTGAAAAAGAATCTGTCCTTCTACTGATGCAAACCAAAAAGGAAGTTTTATATATATATATGCATTGGTAGGCTTCCAGTACTTCACACTACCAAACCATGAAGACAGCTGATGCAGAGTCTAGATCAGGAATAAAAATAAACACAGGAGATGTGCTGTCCTGCATAGTTTGGATGGCTCCAATTTTCAAAACATATATTTTAAACCCTCAGCAGTTATATTTGAATTCTTATTAAAGACCCTGGGCAAAATTTAAATGACATTAATGTAGACTAACTCAACAGCAGTGACACTGCACGAGTGCAGGCTTTGTCCTCAAGAAAGCTTTCAAAACCCCAGCTCCTCTGATTATCTGTTAAGCTAAGCTGGAGATATAAGGCTGTCAATAATGTTTTAGAGGGGAACTAAGTTGGAAAAAGTCACCAGCTCAAGTCCAAAACCTACGCAGAGGTGCCCTTGAGCACACAGATGGGGAGGGAACCGAGGAAATGAATGATTCCTCCAAGAGCTGGATGCTCAGTGGCGCAGCTCCCTCTCCCCTGGCTCTCCATGTCTGCTGCCATGGAGCTCTGCTCTTCCTGTGTGTGATCCCCCTGAGGTTTCCCTTCCTCAGCACTCCTCTGATCCATGGGAGTCAGGCCTGCATCCCTGGAAATGTCTCATGCCAAGGAGAAACAGGCCCTGGAGGTACATTTGCATGAAACTTTCTGGTTAAAGTCTTCATGCACATTTCTCTGGGTATTTTCTTTCTCTCACTTCTTGTATGGCTACTCACATTCAAGAGCCAGCATCTGATATCTTTGTTTTCTACAAAGAAAATGGCTCATTGCTTGTATTTTTCCCTCTGATTGCTACTTAATGAAATTGGTTCCAGCTGTAACATCCCTGTAGCAATGAGCTACAAAGAATCACTTGTCTCAACTGCCTTGGCCAGGCTCCTTTCAGCTACAGCTCACAGATGCCACAGTTATCCAGGAGACTGGAAGAATGCAGTCAAGAATAATGCAAAAATGGGAAAAGCTGAGGCTCATCAATCTTTGGTGCTTTGCTATTGTATCTGTATTGTACTCCAGCCTCGTAGCTCCAACACAGGAGCCCGTGGAGCTCTTTGGTCACTCTCTGGCATCTTGTACCTTTGGGAACGTAACTCCAAATGACAAGGTGCCTGTGCCAAATGAAGAAATGGTGTAGTACCAGCCTGTGCAGGAGGTGCTGCTAAACAGGGAGTATCTGAGGGATCTGTGGTGAATTTCTCTTCCACCTCACCAGTGTCCCTCCCCTGTGATTTGAAGAAAGGGCCTTTCCTGGAATATTCATGTCACCAATCATCTGCCATGTAGCTCAAAATTTCCAAAGGCCCCGGTCAAGAACCCAAAGCAGTTTAGCAGCACATCCCTGATAAAGTCAAACCAACAAATGGAAAATGTTGGCTGTAACTTTACTTGTCTTTCATATTGTGAGAGATTGTCCCTTCACTTTTGGAAATGATATTCCAGATATCTCCATTGTGGCATAATAAATACCTGGGGTTTGTGCTTAAGAGGTGGGCCCAGGTTTCCTGCGCCTGTGGGTATTAAGTACTCTAACTGTTAAATTGCAAATCTTTTTGGGTGTGTTGATGATCCAGTGAGCTTTCTCCTTGGCTATCCCAGTGAACTGATGCTCTCTTGGTGCTTCAGATGTAACAATCTGCTTCCTTGTTGCTTGTACTCCTCCAAGTAACATTTTGCAATAATATTAATTGTACAGCATGCTTACATTTCTCATACCATTATTAGTAAATACGTTTACTCTAGCTTTCCTTGA